AGCGCTGCGGCGCGCGCCGAGCCAGAGCGGCCCGGGCCGGGGCGGCGGCAGCCCGAGCGCCGCGCGAACCATGGCCTCGCAGGGCGAGCCCGGCTACCTGGCGGCGCAATCGGACCCAGGCTCCAACAGCGAGCGCAGCACCGACTCGCCGGTGGCCGGCTCCGAGGACGATCTGGTGGCCGCGGCGCCCCTGCACAGCCCCGAGTGGAGCGAGGAGCGCTTCCGCGTGGACAGAAAGAAACTCGAGGCCATGCTCCAAGGTAGGCATGCCCCTGCTCCCGATCCGCCTCCTGAGGGCCCACGTCGCGCCCAGTCCGCGCGCGGGACCCCCGCTCCCCTCTCCCCAACTCCGCCAGCCCGCCCGATCGGAGGAGCCGGAGGCCCGAGTTGGTCCGGCCGCCCCTAAGTTAGTTGCTCTTCGTACTGCGAAGATGCCAGCTGCGGCTGGGACATCTGGGTCGTGACATCCCCACGCTCCGGGACCGCCCAGCGTGCGTGGCTCTGCCGGGTTTCCCGAAGCTGGGGGTCCTGGCCACCACTGCTGCGTCTCTCCCCTGCCCTCGTCAGTATCTGCTTCCTCCAGCTAGGGCCTGGTCTGGTCGCCTGGTCTGGAAAGCGCTGCAGATGTCAAGGCTTCAGCTGGGAGCCCCCGCCCCCACGCTGGAGTCCCAGGCTGGAGCGAGTCACCCAGGCATGGGGGATCCGCGTCCTGGCAATGCAGAGGACAGCATGTGTCAGGGGAGCCGAGCTCCTACAAGACATCTTGAGTTACATTCGCTTCATAAACGTCTTTCTCTTGCAGCTGTGGGAGTCTGACTTTGTCTTTCATAATTTGGGGATTTAAAAAAAAATCTTTTTTTCTTTATTTTTTTAACTCTTTATAGAGTTTCTGGGACTTTCCCGGGAAGAAAAACTTTCTCCACGCTGGATTGGAAGCAGATTCTTATTTATCGCGTTAGGATTAGAGCGAGTGGTAACACGTCCAAGGTCATTTTGACCTTTAAAAATGTTCATTGCCAGCCTACCCGTGGTCACCTGTGTGGCTCACCTACCACATCCAAAGGCTGAGATGAGGGAGCCGGAATAAGCGTGACTTTTGAGACCCGTGAGATTGGTCCCCTGGTCTCAGGAAGAGAGCGTGGTTAGCATTCGGTAGCTCTCATCCTTCATCTTCGAAAACTTGGAGGTCTACAGACTTGCTTTTATGGCTGCCCGCGTGACTTATTTGGACTTTATCAGTCAGTGTATCGCAGTATGGGAGCGAGTTATTCCTCCCTGGAAATGCAGTGGCTTTCAGAACAATTAAGAGGGTTATTTTAAGAGAGAACAACATGTTTTCCCAAACAATAACTCGGTGGAAATAAGTATCAGGAGTGCTTGGCAGGCATTTCTGGAAGGTCTAACTAAGAACTTCTCTCCCTCGTTGCTTATTTGTATCGATAAACATCCCGAATGTCATGTCTTGGGGCTTGTTTTCCCTTAAATTATGTAACCTTGTAGGAAACCAACGGATTTGAAAACCGAAGCCGCGTTACATTTCAGTAATTTTCGTTTGTGACACCTTCTTATTAGTTCCACGATTCTGCCTAGTTTTGGAGTAGCAAACAAAAATGTTAGGATTATGTTGCAGAAGTATTTGTAAGACTGTATTGAACCCTAAGATGCTAGGCTGATCTATTTCAACTGCTTTTCAACTTACTCTTTCTTGCTTGTGTCGGAAACAGAATAATTGATTACTCCTAAGAGCTCCGCAGTATCATCCTTAATGGGTACCCTGAGCAAATACCACAGTGGATGCCAGTTTCTGGGAGGCTCACTTGTAAAGTCTGAGATCTTCCAGGGGATTTGTTTTCAGTGAATTTTCATTTTTTGGATTCACTGAAACATGTGTAGGACATTCTGAAAATATGAAGTGTTAACCCTCTTTTAGGCATTCTGTTCTAACATCTGAAGGCCCAAATCACTTTTCAGTGGTCAGATGTTTAGCCTTAATAAACTTACACATAATGAACAATCCACTTAGTGATTGAAAAGTTCTTTGATTCATCTTCCAGAGTTACCTTCAAATATGTGGCCTTGTTGTCAAAGTAAGTCTTGAAGTCAGGTGAGGTTAGAACCCAGCACTATGGCATTTTGCTACCCCTTCCCACCCAGCACCAGATTTCACACAGCCACCATCTATGGTAAGCCAAATTTGTGTTTAATTGCTTTATGCTATAGCAGGTCTGAGCCATAGAGTTCTCAGACTTGCATTCAAATGTCTGTGGGACCTCAGTTTCCCCACCCGTAAAATAGAGGTTGATTTGTTTTCTTTCCTTTTCTTTCCTTTTCCTTTCTTTTTTTCCTTCCTTCCTCCCTCTTCCCTCCTTCCTCCCACCCTCCCTTCCTCCCTCCCTCCCTGGTTCTGTGGGAAGGGAAACATTTGATGCCTAAGTAACAAGACTTGCTGCACTGTTGTTAAATACCAAGAGCTTTGCAATGCAACATTACCAAATGTTCATGGCTCAAACTCATTTCCAGTCCATGCCACAGTTTGTAACATATGAGATATAGTTCACAAATACTTAGGGAATGGAAAGTGTTTGCAAGTTCAGAGTTACAAAAGTAATAGATAAAAACCGAAATTGGGCCAAAAAAAAAAAAGTTATTTTTAGGAGAAAACTTGTCCTTTGGAAAGGGTCAAATAGGGAGAGGTTGCATTTGTTTGTATTTCGGTGATTGTGAATTTGTAGTTTACCATTTTTCACAATAGCCTTAAAAAGTAGATGGGATTTTCCATTTTAAACCAGGGTAAGTCAGGTTGTTGGCCCTCAAGTCTTCAGAGTGTAAATTGGTGATTATAATGCTTGGAATTTGTTTTCAGAGAGACTGTCCTGGGGGCAGGTTAATCTTTAATAGGTCGCATTTTTATTAGTAGAGAGAGTCTTCTACGCAATGGACCAAAAATTCACTGAGGTTAAAATGGGCAGTAGGGTCAGTAGACAAAGAAATAAAATACCATTCTTGCATGATCATGGAGTCTAACTGATATACATAAAAACCACTAGACCAAAATATAGGGAAAATTGCTAGTTTTTTTTTAATCCCCCCTTCCTTTAAAAAACCAACTACTTTGAAATAGCCATAAAGAATGTCTGGCATTTTTGTTGATGATAATTATCGATCTTCTTGGTCAATGATTTTTTTCTTTTGCATGGGAAATTACTTTTGGGACTTTAGTTTTTTTCATGAGCATGCTCAGCCTTGGCATACATGCCGTGTCCAGCATTTTTTAGTAGTAAGGAAACACCATGTTCTGTTTCTTCCATAACTAGCCTTCAGCGTTTTGATAGACTTCATCAGGAATCATGTTAAATGAATTCTACTTTGTGAAAAAGAGGGGTTCCTACAAACGAGACAGGGAGAGGTCAAGAGTGTATAGGGTACAGTGATGGTTGTTGCTAGGGAACGGTAGCAAAGATGGGATCCCTTTAAGAATACTTCCCCTTTTGTCATCACAAAACATGTGTTCAGCACAGACTGAGAATTCCCCCCTACACAGTTTAGAAGCATAGACATTTTCAAGGTTGAGTCCTGAGCAGTTTCAGCAGAGAAATAAAGGAGTGGGAGATATGGGTGTGGCTTATAAAGGCAATTGGCAGCCAGTGAGCTTTTCCTCTAGGGTAGAGAAGACTTCAGAAACCTTGTAGGGTTTTCATAATGCTGGGACAACTTGGGATCCCTTCCTGTCTGAGCAGTAGAACTACCAGGCTGGCAGGCTAGCGCCACGAGCCGCATGTGTGTCAGCAAGTGTGTCATTGTTTTAACCCAGCAAACTTTACCATATGGTTTGGTGACTGGTCATCCTTTATTAGGCATTGCTATGGAGGTGGAGGACATACGAAGCAAAAATCCTAGAAGGTGGGGAAGTTCCAGAAGGGAACTTAAAGAGGAAAGCTTACGTGAACAGCACTTTTTAGCTAGTGCTTGGTCAGAGCTGACAAATATTAAGAAACCCAGTAGCTTCGTGAGGGACAGTGTGGATGTGTACAAAGCTTTGGGCAAGATCAAGATTTGTCTGTTGGCATTATGCTACCCGAGGCTTTCTTTCTAAAATGGAGGGTTAGTAACAGTTATGAAACCTTGAAGTGGTTATAACATTCAGGAGGGGGAAAAAGGCGCATATAACATATCACAGTGGGCTCTGGATAGATGGCTTAGTGGTTGAGAGCACTTGACACTTCCCCAGAAGACCTGAGTCCTGTTCCCAGCACCTGCATCTGGCAGCTCACAATTGGCAGTGACTCCAGCTCCAGGGTATCAGAATGCCTCTTCAGGTCTCTGTGGATCCTACCACCACAGGTGACATGCTCACCCAGACATACACATAAATTAAAAAAACAAAAACAAAACAATCTGTAAAAAAACCTCAGTGCTGGATGCATAGGAAAAAGCCGTGATGCATAGAGTATGTATTCCTATATCAAGAATGGAAGTCCAGTTTATTAACAAATACATATAATGGACCTGCACGGCTATTTTAAGGGTATTATTGGCCCCCTGGCAGCTTAGCTGTTGGTAGGTGAGCCTTTGGTACAGCTGAGTAGATCTCTCATAGATGGGACTGGGCAAGTGGCGGTCTTCGGAGCCTCCTTAGGTGAGACTGTTCTTGCTTTGAGTGGTTTCTGTTCTCTGAAAGGCTTTCCATTTGTCCAGTACTTCTTTAAGGACTGATAACCCCCTTTCCATCAGAAACTCTCTGTTCTTGAGCCTCTCTCATCTGTGTGTGGGGAGGACCATTTTACAAGAAAATACTTGTATTTTCTTACATGTATTTGCCCAACAAAGGTGGCCATTTGCTCATCTGTGCAGAAGGGGCAGGGGTGGTCTCACCATAGTGGGAAGGGTGAAGGGGGAGAGGGAGGGAGAGTGCAGACGTTAAGAGTTGCTCTTGTGGAGGACCTGGGCACGTACGTTTGCTGGGCATTTAACTCCATATAACTCCAGTTCTAGGGGATCTGATGCTCTCCTTGGCTTCTATAGGCATATATCCTCACACACGCATGAATAAAAACTAAAACTGATCTTTAAAAAAATCGCCTCATCGTAGGGCGACGTAAGCACAGAATGGGTTGTGTGTAAAATGCTGTTCCAGGGTGGGGCACATTGACACTTGGAGACAGCAGTGCAGTTTGCGATTGATAAAAGAGTTCAAAACACGGGGTCTGGAGAGATGGCTCAGCGGGTGAGAGTGCTAGCTGCTCTTGCGGAATACCCAGGT